AACCAACCATCTGGTTCCTTAGCAAAATTGACGATATACAATAACATTTTTATAAGATATAATTGGAATTTTGACTTATACCCTAATTATTTATACAAAAAAATATCGGTCATATCAATCTTCAGATTTCTCATACCAAAAATATCGAATCCAAAGTTTACCAAATAAAATGGAGATACACATTTATTCTAAAATAATTGGCCATATTATTTCCAATTTTTTTATACCAAAAAAATCGTAACAATCTTTATCATGCTAAAAAAAATGGAACAGTGAATTTCACACAAAAAGATATTTGAATTGTCGCAACAAAAAATGATTAAACGAGACACACTGATAATGCAAATAAAAAATTGACCAAAGCATTTTCTATACAAAATAAAATGAGACATGCACATTATATCAAAATATTTGTTCATATTATTCTGTTGGAGTTACAATAATTTCATTGTTGTAATTTCATACAAAATATTGATATAAAAATTGAAACCAACGCCAAAAACCAATATACTAAACTGCGCATTTCAGACAAAATGTATACCATATATTGATTAATTTTCAGCAAATTTCCTACTAAAAAAAACAGTCAACAAATAACCCAAATAAATTTTCCCATTTTACACCATATACTGAATAATTTTTTTCTCATAGAAACGACCATCAAATACCAAAAATAAATTCGTCCATTTTATGCCATATATTGATCAATTTGTTTTCCATAGAAACGCCATCAAATACCAAAAATAAATTCGCTCACTTTATATCATATATATTCCATAAATAGTAAATAGGATTTTATTTGGTGGGAAACAGTTACTATTTTAAAAATAATCAGACATTCTTATATTAACTATAATTTAATTTATAGAGAGGGTTGTTAATAGGAAGTATGAAAAGATCAAGTACATGTTCGGGACCCCTTCTCCAATAAAAGTCCATATTAAAAATGGACATTTCATTAAGTCCTTTTGGAAAAACTTTTACATTTTTCACATATGTTAGGTAAATGCTATTTAACATAAGTATTTTAAATAATATATTTTTAAATGCCCCCTTTGCACGAGTTACTAAGGGTGTGATTGAAAAACTTAATTAAAAACAAAAAATCAACCAAAACTCAAATTAACTCACCTTTAACCGAATCTCGCTATCCTCAATATTATCAATATAATTAAATAATATTAATCAATCATACTTACACATCACATCAACTTTAGTTCACTATACATCCATATAATTTTAACTATCTATCACTTCCAATCATTTTTCTACTCCTTTCATATCAATCAACTTTAATTATTTTATTTTAAAACAAACTCAAAATCACACTCAAACCTAACTCAACCATTTTTTCTAAATAAACTATGGTTAACAAGAAAAACAATTAAAATCAAATCAAATTCATATCCAATCACACCCTAACATTGTCCATAGGATATTTTTCAATTAATATCCTACTACCTAAATATAATTCAAAATAATATTTTCTTGATCATTAGACTCATAATGCATTTTTTTTCTTGGAACCATGGAAATAAGTTGATACATATTATTTTAAGATTTCCATGAATTTTTCTTTATAATATTATCACTCTAAAATATTTTATTTATATAATAATATAACAACAGCAACATACCCAGTATATTCCCAACTGGTTGGGGTTTGAGGGGTCAGTTGTACGCAGACCTTACCTTTATAATTATACAAGGAGGTTGTTTCCGTAGCGACCCAAGGTGCATTGCGTCGTTTGATATATTTTTTTTTCTAGAAACTTCACTAATAGAAAAAGCACTAGAATTTAATTAAGTCATTTTTGATATAGTCCATTATTAGCACTATGTCAGGAGAATTGTCAACAATGACTCTTCCAGCTCCATTTGACAAGTATATAATAATATAACATGAAAACAAAAAATCAAATAATATTAACTATACCAAAATAAAATATAACGCGCAAATTAAAATTTAGCACATAATTAGTAGATGTAAAATATATAAATTCCCCTATATATAATTCTCGAATGTGCTGAGCCTAAGTGGCAAGCTCGCATGCTTCGGGATCCTATGTGCCAAAATTCCATGCTTTATTATTTGGGTTGGATAGATTTTAATTTAATTCCAATCCAAAAATAATTAGGTTTGGATTACCATAAATATGTGATTTATTTATGATCATTTTAGATATATTAATTGTATTTTAATATCATTTCCTATTATTATTATTGAATTGTAAATGTATTTTAAAAGTTGATAACTTTTGTATTTCTTATTGGATTCACATATATAAAATATCAAATTAATCATTTTTTGATGAGTTTCGATTTGACATCCATATTGTATATATAAAATAAATAAATTGCGTTTATATTTATAATAAAAAAATATTTATTAAAATTAATTACAAAAAAAAGTTATTTCTCAATTAATATATTTATGTTTAATGTATATGTTATAAATTAGAAAAATTATTATAATATAACAATAACACAAATAAGTCGCACAAGTAACAAGTGTCGTTCTAAAACATATATAATATATATTTTTTATAGAAAGTATTTAAATTTTCAATTACTTTTTCTCATTAATTTTAAACTTTAAGAAAAGATTTAGCAAGCACCCGTGTAATACACGGGCGTTGTACTAGTATATGTAATTACATATTATATTTTTATGAAGGCTATCATCATAAGCACTGGTAATCAATTATACATAAACCAACCAGCAAATATTTCTCCTTTAAAATAAAATGAGTAAAATACAAACATTATTTAAAGAAATATATAAAAATAGAGATAGTGCTAATAATAATTCACATTAAAGATTCAGTTTGAGCATGGGAAATATACAAAACTAAAAGAAGCACATATATTTTGTGAAAGAAATTAAACAAGAAACCGAGTATAGATTATCCCAAAATTTGTATTTGTTCATTCAGTTATTGCAAAGAGAAGTTACCTCCAGATCTATTGAGGTTTCTTGTGCTAAGATCTTAGTGGGGAAAAGGCACAAATCATTGTTCTTTGAAGGTGTGGTTCGGTAAAGATAGAAAGATGAAACAAGGAAAGGAATGAAAATTTTCGGGGAATGCAAAAAAAAAAAATGCGAGAATGAAATGTTTAATGGGCTCTCAGAAGTATCTAACTCCCACTTCGCCAAAATGGACTTAACGAGAAGTGACTATTTTAAATCTAAAATGCAAGTTTTTTGTTGGGCAGAGTTCTGATGGAGAAGTTTCATACTTCTTGGAGAAGCTTATACTTCTTGTTAGTGTCTATTATAAAATTATCAATAAAATTACTTATCTTTCTTTTCGTGATCCTTTACTCCTAATAAAAATACCCACTGTTCAAAAAGTGTTAAGCAAGATACTGCAACTATAGGTTAGTGCCTAGCTGCGGGCACTAATTGAAACTGTAGCCTAAGCAAAGTGAGGCACCTGTCTCACATTTGTTAGAATTAAAATGCTCCAATGACTGACAGCATGCTAAACAAATAAGAACGATGAGACATATTTTGCTCAAACAAGCACCAATTGAGGACTAATATATCAATAAACTACTAGAATGTGACTTGCGACTTATAAAAGGATACTATCTTAGATATACTCATCAGCTACCCATAGAAATAATATGATAGTAACATTAGAATCGTCCCCATTTAATGAATCATATCTTTCACCATCTTCGTCTCAAAAGTTGGCACGTTGAGATCTTGTGGTTGCGCTTGATGGCTTACTTTAACCCTTAGGGGTTTAGGTAAGGGCTATGCTGGTTTCTATGAAAATGCACTGATAAAAGATACAATTATATGAATTGAACCTACAGACATAAGAACCTCAATGGTGTATGCTAATGTACATTTCAAGGCCTTAGTCCTTACACTACTTCCCAGAACTACTTCGCGTGTGAAATTAGGCGATCGGTTGTCGGCTAGCACCTAAGGGGCAGACCTTTTGAACCATTGAAAATACCTTTCGATGAGTGCCTCTAGAAGAAGAGCCTCTAGGCACCAAGTAGAAAATACATTCTGAATAACATACACGATATAAATTTATTACATGAATGATCCTTCAAACTACAGAGTACAGGTTAACAGTGACACAAAAAAAAAAAAAAAAGCATCGAATTTGTAGGATGGAAATACTGACCTGAACTATATGTTTCATTGATATGTCCAGCCCGTTCATTTTGCGATCCATTATTGCTGGATTGATGTGGCAAATTCGAAATAAGATGAAAAAGAATGACGCCGTTGACAAAGGTACAGTGATTTAAACAAACTGCAACTATCACAAGAGATCTATATGAGCCATGATGGGCAGTAACCTCAAAGCTTGAATTTTGTTAGACCCTAGTATGAAAAGCTTGACTGAAAGCATGCATAACTTGATGGCAACAACATGCCCAAGCATGTAAACATAAAACAAGCTTGTCATTAGACACAAATAGGCGTCCGTTTCTACAATAATACACTTTTATTTTCCAATTTTTCTTAATCTTCTATCACACATATCTTTTCTAAATATAGGAGAACACAATAAGGTGGATAAAAACAACAATCTTCAATACATGCGTGAACACAAGAAAGACCTTTTCCTTTCATAAATCAACAAAAGTGAATAAAAATAAAATAAAAAATACTATAACCAACCTCGAATCAACTGGTTCGCCGTCCTCTGATAATCCTCCTTATCAGTTGTTTCTTGTGGGCCCCAGTTCACCGTCCGAGGCCACCACTGAGGCAATTCTTCCTTCCTCCTCCTGGCCAACGTTTTTGTTCTGTTTTTTCTCTTCCAGTGATAGCTATAAGCATCATTCGAGCTCAATGGTGTCGATTTACTGGCCGGCATCGTCTCGCTCTTCCCAACCACAACCTCCCTGCCACCAAGGCTCCTATCCCTCTTATATATCAGCACCTCCCCGCTACTTTTGCGAGCCTTAAACAAACCACGTAAAGCAACAGCAGCTACCAAACTGGTCAAAAACAGTGCAATAAGAAACTCAACAGTGGATCGCCTGCAGGATATTACGAACCCACCGTTGTCGCCATTGACGGTGACGATGGTCTTCAAGTCGTCTAGGGCTTCCCGGCCGTAGTCAAGGAACTTATTCAGTCTGCTCTCGACCTGCTGAAGGGAATGATTAGGGGTTCTTAGGGTTATTTGGAGGCCGTCGTCGGAGAGCTTGAAGATGGCTGGGGTGGGGATGGGTGTCTGGGCGTGATTGGGGGAGTATTTGAGGAGGCGGCGACGATGGTGGCGGCGAAGGACGGCGGAGGGTAGGTAAGTGTGGCGGGAGACACAGCGGTCTGATAAATTGAGGTTCATGAGCTGTGGAAGAGCGAGAGAACAACAGTTGCTCATCATAATCAGCAATAGTGTCAAAACTGAAAGCCTGAAACCAACGGGGCGGATTTTAATTGAACCAAAATACAGGGGAAATTACGAAATTGCGTCAAAACTGAAAGCCTGAAACCAACGGGGCGGATTTTAATTGAACCAAAATACAGGGGAAATTACGAAATAGTTTATAACTAGTATGATACATATCGACTACACGGTACTTAAATATTAATATATTTGTATAATAAAAAGTAAAAATTATTTACATTTTTATTGTGACTATATGTATTATGAGCATATAAGAATAATAAATTACAAACAAAGTAATAATTATTTTCATTTTGATTATATTTTTTAAATTATATATGGGATTATTTACAATGCCAATATATTTGATCTAATTTTTTTCAAAACAAAACAAGTTTTATTTTTTTGTGATTATATTTTATATTTATGGATTCGGTTTCTCTCGTTTACTAATATTTTAAGTTTTTTAAATTTATATAATTTAATAATTTAGAATATTAATTGTAAGCAGAAATGTATTATTGTATAAATTTATGAAAAGAAATTTATTTTATTATAGTTAGTTATGATATCCCTTTATATTTATTATTTTAAAAAACATAATAACATTAGTTCCTTATGTAATATATTTAAATTGAGAAACAATATTTACAATATTTATCATAATTTATTTTATGTTATACTTAATTTTCATATTTTATCCAAAACCTATGAAAAAAAACACATCAAATTAATTAATTATTTTATGGTGTATTCATGAATTAGATTTTGTGTTTTTATAAAATAATATATATTACTATTTACTAATAAATTTATTTGATGATAAAATTATATTTTTATAAAGATAGATGAAATTATTTTATATTTTCTATATGCAATATGGATGTCGAATCGAAGATCGCTATCATATTTTAATATATCATAATAAAAATAACATACAAATAAAAAAGTTATAAATTATAAAATATAAAAAAGAATTCTAATTCATGATAATTAATATATTAATTAAATAAGAAAAGCTAGGAATTGTATATGGTAACTTAAGAAATATCCTCTCTCTCTATATATCCAAAAATCCCCATTCAAAACCCTCGTCCGGCATTCAATTGTGGAGCCTCCCTTCAGGCGATCCCTTCTTCTTGCGATTCCATGAGCATCGGACTCACCATAGACTTGTCGTCGCGGCTCGGTGGCCGTTTCGCCTCTCCCTCCCCGTATGCGGTGTCGCTCTTGTACCCGAGCGTCATGGCGGTCAAGTTAGAGGCGAGGGTCGCTAGGCGTGGCGTCCAGCGGTGGCTGCGGGCGTTTCGTGGATGTCTGTGGTGACAGTCCGACCTAGGTCTCTCCTTGTCCGGCCTCCCGTGTTGTTAGGTTCGGTCAAGCCCTCTGGCGGCGTTGGCGATTCTGTGTGCTGGCCCCGGA